CCTGCCGGGCTGCTGCTGCGGCTTTGTCACCACAGGCAGGGAGACCCGGTCCCCAGGACTGGGGGACGCACCCCGCGGGCCCGGGGCAGGTCTGGGAGCCACGGCCTGACCAGCGAGCCGGGGGCAGCGTGGCGAGGGCTTCAGAGCCGCCGCCGCGCTCCAGACTGAGAATCCGCCCAGGTCCTCCAGGGGGCATCGAGCCCTCACTCCCGCCTGGCAGGTGGAGCGGATGGCGTGGGGCGTGTGCCAGTGCCGCCCTGCCTCCTGTCCTGAGCGCAGCTGGGCCGCGCTGGCACTCGTGTTGTCTGAAGCTGTGGGGACTCGGTGTAGTAACTCCATCTGGTTAACTGAAGCTTTGGTTTTGCATAGGCCTCACTTCCTGTACTTCAGTGGACGATTTACTTCTGAGGTGGCTTCGAAGGACAATTTTCCATGCTGTCCTATGCAAGAAATCAACCACTGACCAACAGAGGCTATAACTGGCGTCTAAGGCTTCTGCCTGGGAGAAGTCTGTAGAACTATGCACCACCACCACCACCCCCGCCCCAGGATCCTATATATTTGGTTCAAAAGACTTGTGCACCTTAGAGCTTAATTATGTTATTTTTGTTATGTTTGTCTGATTTCAGAAATGAGAATGTGTTGGAAATGTCTTTATCATTTTATTCAGAAATATTTTTGATTTGCAGTTTTGAAAATAGCAATGAGTAAATTTAAAAAATAAGTGATCAAATTCTAGATTGTTTTCCTCTTCATGTATTTTGAAGAGTAATGCTGATTATCCGGATATCTTTTGGTTTTAAGCATCAGTACAGGCAAGAAATGAAACCTCATTAACAACATACTTATAGAAATGTACAATGAAATTTATTCTAAAGCAGATTCATATCTATTACACAGCTTGACAACTGACTAGTCAATTTTATTCTCACAGATTAAACACAGTTTACTTAAATTTTGACAGACTATTTCTATTTTATACAAGAGAATTTTGTTATCATCTCCATCAATATGTGCTCTCAACCTTAGTCTAAACACTGCATTTCATTCTGGATATAATAGAAGATATTTAGTTAGAATTTATAGTTCTGTTCTTGTCCATTCATCATCATTAAAGTAAAGTTTTCTAGCTGGCAGACATTAAATAGGCAGAATAAAACACCTTAGATTTTGAATCTTACTTGCAATTGAATCAAATATTGTTAATGTGAAACCATATTGTTAGCAGTTTAAAATCAATGCACAACAACATCTCAGAAAACCTATTATGCTTGGAGAGTATATTTTTCAAAATAAGATTCAGTTAACATATTACCAAAAGAAAATTTGTCAGTGCCTACAAAATGGTTTAAAGTACAAGCAATGTTTTTGCTTACTTAAAGTTTATGACATTTTGTTATCATTAAAATCTACAAGAGATAAATAAATGACCAATGAGACTGATGTGAAATTTAGACAAGCTAACCCATTCTTGAGCCAGAAAAACAACATTACAATTGAAATAGACCCTAATTCCTGATCTGTATCACAGGTAACTAGTTAAAACAAAAAGCTAGTAAGCAAACAAAGCTATAGATGGACTTCTGTATCCTTCTGGCAGGGAGGTCAAAGAAGGACTTTTGTTCTCATCTACTGCAATGCAGTTTGATGTTGAACACATAGCATAGAAATCGCTTAAGAATGTGAATATTATCATCAAAGAAATAGAAGTAGAAAGAACTTAAAATATTAAATGAACTCAGTTTTTTCCAAGGATGAACTAGATAAATTTCACCTTAATCGTTATAAAATATAAGCTCAAATTGATTTCACATACATACTTCTCACTTTAAAAACACAGGTGAATGTAGTGCCCATCTTTAATAAGAATTCTCAGATATTTCTGGAGAGGTATGATTTGTAGTATGTGTCCAAGCTGGGTATACACTGTTTATTATCCATCAAGCCTGAAAGTTCACATCAATGCAATTTTCAGAGTTAGTCATCTATTAGAGAAGAGATGCTACCGAGTCATCACATGATTTCCAGGTAGACTCCCCCTCTACCGTTCAGACCTGTGCTTGTAAGGCGTGTTGTGATGGCACATGGACAGGCAGGGACCGCCATGGCGGCAAGGCCGTGCGCGGTACCCCGAGGTACTTCTGGGTGCTTGAAGGTATTTCCTTTTTACTCTGTTTCTAATCTATTAGCATCATTGAAAACCATCACCATAATTAAATGGAGTGATACTTTATTACATACTTATTTTAAACCAATGTACAAATTGACATTTCAGTTCAAACTCAGTGATTCATAAGTAATGATTTCATAAGTAATAATTTCAAACTTAAAATTTCATTTCCTCATAGGAATATGTTGAAAATATTAGAGGTGCTAGACCATATAAAAAAACATATTGTGTTTAACCCTTTAATGACCGTGATGTACATTATACTCTTAAGACCATTTTAGTTATAGTTTATCCTAATTTAACAATGTGCATTATTTATCATATTGGTGTTAATAAATACACATAACAGCCAAGGATGCCTCAAGCTGAATCTCAGAATGCTCTCATGTTGCATGTCCCTGGATTTTCTGCTAGAGACTTAATGAACTTATGTATGAGTGACAGCACTGCTCTAGGGTCTCCCAGTGGCATTTTAAGGTCCTTATTTTTTGTGTTTCTAGAGCATTGTAAGATGCTCGGTATATAACAAGACCTCAAAAAAAAAAAAGGTTTTGGAAATGAAATGATGGGAAAATTCAGTCAATGACTTAATTTTTCAGGTTTATGTTAGGTAGTTTACCCCCAAATTTATGCAGATGGCTTTAAAATGTACCATTTCGTTTTTGTCTTGTGTTTTAGCACGCCCCTTAGCATCAGATACTCTTTCATGTGTCACTGACCGCAGAAACCCTTCCACTCCTCCCGTGGTTACTGGTACCACCGTTGTCTGACTAGCCTCCTGGTTAAGAGCTCGTGTGGAGACCCCGATACCGTCTCCACGCATGGGGCGTCACCCACGCATCCTGTTCCCTGCACATTGTCAGCCTCCGTTCTGTCTGTGACTTTCCTCGATCATCCACTGAACTAGTTGAATCATCATCTACTCACCTGTGATCCAGACCACAAAACAGCACCTTTTCTCAGAGTTCTGATAGTACTTTGTGACTTTTAAACGTCGTTTGCACTTTGTTCTGTAACCTCATTCCCATGTTCCAGTGGGCAACAGGGCGCCTTCTGCCCTTCCTGTGTAAGAACAGGAGAAGGGGGGAGGACATGGGGGGCGGGGCTAGCGCGCCTCTCTAGCTGCGGGGAGCTCTGCGCAGCTCTGCGCAGGACTAGCTAGGACAGTGGCGCTTTGGGCTCATGCGTCCCTCGTGTTGGACAGGCCACCCCCGCTGAGTGACTCCTGCAGGGGAAACCTACCCGGCCCCTCCGTGACCCGGCTACCACGGCCCCTCATGCCCACTGGCGTTCCTGAAGTTCAGTTTTGATGATGCATTTTGTCCTGAGCGTGGTGTAGCCCCCGCGCCAGCCTGCCGGGCTGCTGCTGCGGCTTTGTCACCACAGACAGCGCCGCCTCCAGCAGCCCCGCCTCTGCGCCTGTGCTTCCCGTTTCTTCCCGTTTTCCTTTCCCTGTTCTGTGTCGCATCGATTTTAGCACAGCATCAGCCTCCAAATTCCTTTTTAATTTTCAGACACGTGTATTTCAAGTATTCTATAAATAAGCCGTTCACCACTTTCCACATGGCTGGAATCAATTCTGAGGGAGCCCTGGCGCCCCAGCCTGGTGTGCGACTTCCGGGGTTGGAGCTGAGGGGACACGGCGGACAGCGTGTCACCTTTCTCCGGCTGAAAGGACGGGTTTCCGTGCCCCGAGTTTTGTCTTTGGCACGTTCCTCGCCGAGCCCCTCCATGTTTCCAACGGTGGGTCATGATTTTATCAAGAGAGGTTTTTGATGCTATCAGTTTTACCGCCTTTATTATGACATTTCATAAATGATTCATGAGCTGTCTGAAGAACTAGCCATTAAACAATGATTTGTTATTTTCTGTAGAAGTTGCCTTATTATTGATTCAGTACTTCGCAGGAGAAAGATGATGGAAATTGATCTGATCTCATTACAGCACCACTCGGAAAATCACCAAACAACCACTTTATAGTTCAGCACTTTATAAAATCACATTCTTCGCTTGTGCTTGTGGTGAAGCTGAGAGGATCCACAGAATTGGTAGAGATGTCTTTTAAAAGTTTTCATGGGTCTGGTCAATATAAATCGTCATTTTCTTACTTTTTTCTAAATGTACTAGATTATCTCGATGATATCATCTATTGGCATAACAGTTTCTGGCAATTTACACTGATTTTTTTTTTGCATAATAATAATTTTACTATTCATAGCAAAGATCTTACAGCCCTTCATCATTTTCAGAGAAGTTCAATATAATTCATCTCATTTTTTTGTGTAACACAATATGCCATGTAGTTAGCATCATTATACATATGGAGGTGGATGTTTGTACTGTTGAAGCACATAGTTGAACATTGTTTATTCAATTAGCGCAAGATCCATAAATGAGATATAGGATCTTTTACTGAAAGTTCACCTTGCTTTCTATTATGCTAGATTTACTACTTTAAGGATTTAGGTTAATTGAATATAAACAAAATATAAATATGAAAACATTTTTTCTTGGATACCACAAAAGTATTTACAAAACAAAACGTTTTGTTCAATGCTCATTACCATTAGAGCCCAGAGATGCAAATCAATCTTTCTTCATAGAGTTTTACGTGAGATGTTGTATAATCATGTGTTCATTCAAGAAACTTGATATCTACTATTTTCCCAAACTGTATTAAACATTAGTAAACTTTTTAAAGCGGCAAATAATAGCCTCAAGAAGTTCATCATACTTAGCAGGCCAGACATGTTTTTTGAGAAGGAGATGGGCTACAATAGGGGGTCAGGTCCAGGAACTCAGAGGCTGCTTCAAAACTAACAGAAATATGCTCTTGAAAACTTAACTGAAGAAGTACAGATTTTTGCAGAGAGGAACAGGTTCATTTGAAGGGTACAAGGGAAGCTTTGGAAGCTGTGGGAAATGCATCGCAGTCCGCAGGGCAGGGGTGGGCGGGTGGAGAAGGCCCACTTTTCTCCATGGACATTTATACCACGGTGCTTTCAGTAAAGCTTAGCAAAAATATTACACATAATGACATGAACAATAAAGTTCAAAGTTATAACGTAGGAGTCCCAGTATATGGAAGTGTGTGTGAGTTAATTCCGGGGCTTACTAATATCATAAATACCCAGATTCTTTTTACTTTTACTTATCTGTCAACTCTGTTAGGTAAGTTTATCTTCAAGCTGCAAAAACTCTGTATTTTTAGATATCACTTCCAGAAATGACAAAAGGACTAAAGATTGTTAGCCTTGTGTGTCTGTCTCAGAAAAAGGGAATCACTTCCCAGAAACTGTTTTCCTCAAGTCCGGCCTACTGTGTGCTTCGTATTCCCAGGACAGACTCAGCCCTGGGAGGTGACAGCACCACTGGCATTGGGTGGGTCAACCAGGACCACCCTGTGGGGACTGGAGCTGGCCTGGCCTCCCCTAGGGCACAAGGTTCCTGGGAGGGGGAGCAGCTTAATAAAGTGAACATTAGGTGGAGGAGAAGAATGGGGCGAAGAAGGGAAGTCTTGTGGTCCATTCATAAGGTCTCTGATGAAACCATTTCTAGGCTGTGCACCATCCACCGACATAGGAAATGCAAATCGCTGGGCCATTTTGAAGGCAGGGATGGTCACTTCAGATTTGAGATGATAGACAGGAAGCTTCCTAATAGTTTACAAGGGAAACAGAATGGATTCGGAGCCGTAGGAAGTGGTGTGACCTAACTACCTAGAGTTCAGATGAAGCCATAATTATGGATTCTTTCAATCAATGAGAGTGTGAAACGGCACGACAAGAAGATTTTCAGTAGCGATTTAGGAACACGAGCACTTACATGAGACAGCCGTGGAAGATTCTGGCAGGCAGAATAAAAAAATACATGAACTCGCTTTATTATGCATGGTTATATTAAATGCTAGTCAGTATCCTTACACAGTGGGAACGCAATCTAATTTTAGTTCATACGTGTTATTCCCATATAAACTGTCTCCTCTGTCTATTGATACAGACATCATTTTTGGAGATTATATATACATATATATATATACACACAGTCTACAGATTATGATCTTCATTGTTCAATGCAAAATTTTCTCTCAGAGAAAAATGATATGTTGGTATCACCACTTAATTTCATATTGTTAGTAATGTGGAGTTACAGGAAAAGATAGAAAAATGTTTACAAATTAGTTATAAAGGCAAAAATAAGCCAGAAACTAACCGCATCCATTCCAATTTACATGTACACTACGAACCTTCAAAGACACTCATTAGAGCTGCTGGGACACCAACTGGTCAGTTCAGTGAGCACAGGTTTGCCTGGTCGGCGTGGGAATAGTCCAGTTTGCATGACTTTCTGTTATGAAACTACTGCTCCTTTTATCCTTACGTTTCTGTAGGGCACATGTAGAATGGTAAATGTGTGCTAGGTTTGGACATGTTTTAAATGAAAAATATTTACACTAATTCAATGTTAACCTTCATGTGAACATTTCTGTTCACCAGGACTTATGGCGCCCCAGTACTCCTTCTGCCCACTTCCCTTGCTTTGGGAGCGTCATCCTATTGACCAGCTGCAGCAGCACCATGAAGCCCTTCCTTGGTTTCGGGGTGCAGATGTTGAATACATACTCAGGCATGAAGAACAGAGACCAGATATGAACATAAAAGACACGGGAAGTTTTCCCTTGTCCACACTGTTTTGTAATGAGAAGGAAACACGGTAGATGCCCTGAAAGAATGCCATGCACCGCGTCCTAGCAATGCGTGCGGCCCACGCCTGGTGGCTGCGGTGCGATCGGACTGGTCTAGGCAGCTTGGGTGAGGCCCTGGGGCATCGAGAAGGGTGCTGCATGTGGGGAACCCCGGGAGGCGAGGGGAGGCCTGTGGGGAGCACCGCACACATGGGCAAGGCAGAGATGATGGATCCTGATTGGGCAGAGGCGGCTGCTGGCTTGGAAGGTAGAGGGAGGTGGACTTTAGAAGCTGGAAGAGACAAGCGAGTGGTTTCGGTTTTTTCCCCAAGAGCCTCAGAAGGAACTCAGCCCTGAGAACATATTTTAGACTTCTGACCTCCAAACATAAAAGCTTGTATTTGTGTTGTTTTAAATTACTAAGTTTGTGCTAGTTTGTTACAGCAACACTAGGATACTAACCAGAGGGTCTCAAAATAGTTTTTAGTGTCTTTGAGACAGAATTGGGTCCTCAGTTCCTACTACAGCCCCGCCAAGGGCGTGGGGCGGGGGAGAGGGAGGCCAGGGAGCCACGTGCGGCTGTCTCCTCAGCAGCTCGGAGCTGAGCCACACCAGGTTTCAACCGCCGTTAAAAAGCAGTGACAATAGGGCTAAAATATGGACGTTCGGTAAATGCACGAAGGACATTGGGATGCAAAGTCAAATGCGCAGAGAGGTTAGATGGTTCCAGTCTTGATCGTAGGTTGAAACATTTCATTTCGGTATATTTCAGAATAGCCATCAGATCACAAGCCCAGTTTTGCTCATCTCTGAATGACTCCTGTTACTGTAGGGCTTCAGGAAAGATTTCTTGATACATTGCCTGTGGTTTTGGTTTTCTAAATACCCAACAGTGTCAAAACACATTCACTTCAGAGAATAATACAGCTGAAAATTATTCTAAATAGAAAAACAAATTTTTCATTAAAACAATCTTTTGTATTTCCGTGGAACAAAACACATTAATTATTTGGCACAACAACAAAAGCAAACAAGAAACTGGCCCATGTCATTATAGGGAGATTATGTTCTCCTGATGTTCAGCTGTGAGAGCTGCGTTCAGACGTGGCCACACAGACTCTGGAATGCTATTGGATGAACATCTGTTCTCATTGTGAATTTATTACTGAAAGCCGAGTTTAACGCGCCTTCATGAGAAGCACAAAACGCTGTTGCTACTTAGGGCAGCATCCTTTAAGTCACCCCATTGGTCAGCGTAGGATGGACGTAATGGCTTCCACGTTGGGCCCTGGGCATGTCCATCAGAGCAGCGGGCTATACCCGCGCAGTGTTACAAGGGCAGATGGCTGGGGTGTTGAGGCGTGCCTCAGAGG